CCCTACAGGAGGCCACCCTCTGCCAAGGGACCCTCCTCACCCTGCTTGGGCTCTGACTCTGAAGGCCAGGTGGCTTCTTCTCATGGGCTCACTCTCGTGCCACTTGGACTTGGACTCCTTGTGGATGCCCCTGACATCCTGCTTGGGCTCTGATATCCCACACCATGTCCTCAGGCATGGACGCCTTCAACCTCCTCAGGCTGTGACATGCCACACCAGGATGTGCCCCCACTCCCCAACATGGTGCCTGTGTCACCTGCTCTAGCTCTGACACCCCATGCTGGACCAGCCTTTGCATGGACACCCTCTCTGCACTTGGGCTGCCCATAAAAGGGCACCCCTTCTGTGGATGCCCTTCTCACCTGCTCTAGCCCTGTCACCCCAAACCAGATCCCCTACCCCGTATGGATACTTACCTCACTCCCTTGGGCTCTGACTTCTGACACCACCTTTTACACCCTGCTTGGTCACTGATGTCCCCACACATGGACGCCCTCCTCCCCCTGATTAGGCCACGACACCCCACAGCTGGGAGCTCTCCCTCAACTGCAGACACCTACCTAGCTCTGCCCCACCTCATGGCTTCAGGATGGAATTGCTCAGGAAGAAATACGCGAAATTCCAATTTCACGTTTTTAAGAAATTAGATGTCTTCAGAGAATACTTATAGGAAATTTGTGGTCTTGCCGAATTTCATGGTCTTACTAGATAACTCAGTAAACTCTCCTCTTGCATTGCACATTCTCCAACTTCCTTCCCAAGCAAAGCTGTGAGTGGCTGGCGAGAGGGGAATCCAGACTCTAAGGGCTTTTGATACAGGATGCCAAATTCCTCCCAGAAAGACTTATCTGGGTTAAACAGGTGAGGAAAGGCAGGGAGCCTCATTAAATGTACAGCGTGTGTTAGAAGCCTGCCGGTCAGGAGGGATCAAAAGCCCCCCAAACACTGCAAAGAAAGCCCGAACAGCCTCCCAAGCCTGGGGGGTTGGCTGCGGGGCCTGGGTGGGAGTAAGCTCTGGGTCTCCCAGGGGAACGGAAGCTCACTCACCTGCACAAAGGCCTTCAGGGGCCCTGGGGGCTTCTCATCCTGCTCTTCCATGCTCTCCTCCAGGCACGGACAGGGGCCTGAGATTCTGAGCTGCAAGGGAGAAGCCCTGAGTACAGCATCCTCGTGCATGTCCCCTGTGGCACCCTCTCCCTGGATGAGTCTCCGCTTCCGGGATGCACTCGCCATGGCAAGTGTGCTTCTAGAGGTTCCTGCCCAGATTCCGGCCCAAATAGCAGTGCATGCTCCTAGAGTCCCTTGGTCCCTCTCCCAGGCCAAGGCTGCATCACCATCCTGGCTCCTCCACAGTCTCGGGCCTCCAAACCACGTACCCGTAAGCCCACCTCAAGCCCAAACGCAGCCTTCACCCACCACCAAAATCTGCAGCATAAATCAGTTCCTCCCTGGGTCCTGGGGTCCCCACAGACACCCAGCACATCCAGGACCCCCCAGTGTACACCCCTTCTTCCCCAACCTGAAATCTGCATCCTCTTCCTCCGGCAAGCAGCAAGGCTCTGGGGTTGTTGGCCCCGAATCACACTCCCTGACGAAATACAGGAAGCTCGTGACACAGCCCCTTCCATTAGCCAGGCCTGATTCTCCAGCAACCTGCCACCAATCGCCTCCCACTTCCTGCTCAAATAGCCAACCATATGCACAGAGCTCAGGTGCACTCAGGTCGTGGGCGCTCCACCATACTGGAGTCGGCCAGCCCCGACCAGACAGCACCAGCCCAGATTCCCACCCGAAAGCCCTCCTGGGCGCTGAATTTGTAACTGTGACCTGGTCCCTCCACCCACCTGGTGTCCTCTGGCCTGAACTGGTATTGGCATGGGATTGGGGGACTTCAGACAAACTCCAGCACATGTAAGCCCCTCCCAGGCCCAGAATGTATACCTCAGCTGTCTTTGTACCAGCTAGAAGTTTCTGAGTCTGAGACTAGAACAACTTCTGGATAATCGCACCCTATGCACCCCACCCCTGCCCCCACCCCTCCCTCTTACCCACTCCCTCACTCCCATTGGATTTTCACTCAAACAGTATAACATGGGTCACAGTGCAGCTGTACCTTGAACCCCCACTCAAACCATTTCCTCCACCAACCTCCATGGCCCCTACTAGAGCCACACCTGCCCAGATACCTTCCTGGGCACCTGTAGCGCAGGAGATCCTGGCTTTCCACCAACCTGGGCATCATCATGCTGTGATTGGGGCACCATCTGCACAAAGACCTCAGCATCCTCTGTATAACACCTATGCGTATGCACAGAGAGACCTGGTGCAGCCCTACCCTTCTGCAGCCCAGGGTCTGCAGCTGCCTCCTCTACCCACCTGGGTGTCCTCAGGCAGTACCAGGGTCCTAGGACTGCCCATGTCTCCCCATTCTGCCCAAATGCCGGCGCATGTGCAGAGTGCAGATGGAGCAGCCCAGCGCCCCCAGCACCAGAACCTGTAGCTCCAAACTAGGGCCCACAGGCCTCTACTCCAGCAGCCACTGCACAGGGGCCACCACCCACCCCAGGTCCCTCCTCTTGCTGGCACACAGAGTAGGCTCATGCCAAGACCCTGCATCCAGCCTGTGGGTCTTGTGCAGTCCCTGCTCTTGAGATGATAATCTGTTATCTCCCACTCTGTGCCTCGACCTACCTGAGACGCACAAGGCACCCACAAGCCTCCGTGAGGGTTCTGGGGTCACCTGCATCCACTGCCTGCTTGCCACCAAAAACACTGGAACATCCAAACAGTAACTTGAACACAGAGCTCCAGAACCAGCCCCAGAACTTGGGCACTCGCTTAGGGGTTGTCAAGCCCATGATATTAATAGACCAGCTCCCGTGGGAACTGGGACCTCCCACTTCCTTCCACCCAAACGTGAGCACTTGGCTGCCTTGCGGAATATAGCCCCTACCAGGTCCAAATCTTCAGCCCAGACTCTGTTCCTCTACCAACCTGGGCATGCTAATGTCTGCACAGTAGACCCTGAGCAAAAGTCCCGGACATATCTACTTCATAATCATGCTGGCAGCATCCCGCTTCCTCCCGAAACAGCTGTCCATTGGATGGCAGCTGTTGCAGCTCTGTCCTTCCTGGGCTCAGGTTCTGTACTTCCAACCCAGCATCTCCACCAAACCTGAATGCCTTAGGGCTCTGCACTATCCTACATGGGTCCCAGGATTACCAGTCCAAGTTCCTCCTTCCCATTCAGACCCCCAGCAATTGCAGGGAGCGCTCTGCCTAGAATATGACTCTCAGCCCTGGTCCCTCCTTCAACCTGGGAGCCTGCAGTCCATCACCCATTCCCACCAAGGGTTCGCTGAAGCAGCACTGCCTCTCCCCGGCAGGAATCTGCAACTCCCATCTGGTCTCTCCACCACCCAGGGAGCCCCCAAGCCTGCGAGGAGAGTAGTGTCTGCTACAGGGTCTCAGAGCCAACTTCCCAGAATCTCATCTCCCACCTCCTGCTTCCTACTCAAACACCTGCTCGAGAGTATAGGGGCAATGACACAGACCCTCTCCTCCAGGAACCCGAATCTGCAACTGAGAACCAAGTATTCCTCATGTCCAACATCAAACAGGCCCAGCCTTGGATGAGGTTCTCCTGCACCCTCGTGCATATGGCCCACTGTCTCCCACCAACCTGGGTATCCTCAGCACCAAAACGAGAACCACCTGACCAAGCACCCGCGCATGCGCGCAGAGCATAGTCCTGGAATCAGCAGCTGCACTAATATCTCCACCAACTTCGGTGACCAGAGGCTGAAGCGCCGCCCGCGCAGGTCCGGGATCGCCCACCTGCACTCCCAATCCAGCTTCCTGCTTAGACCCTGCGCATGCGCGCACGGGACATCCAGCGCTGCCCTACCCCTCACCAACCTGGGCGTCCACGGGCTCACCGCCCAGGCTGGGCCCGTCCCAGCCCGTGTCCGGCACGGCTCTGCGGCAGGACGAGCTCGGTAAAGCAACGACGCTGCCCCGACGCTGCACACGACAGATTCGGATTAAGCTAGTTCGGCCCCTCTTCGACTCAGCATCCGCAAGTCCGGTCGGGTTAACCACCAAAGGGCCGAGGTACGCGGCGACAGCAAGCGTCCGCGCAGGGGACAATGGCTGCGCTTGTGGCCAAACCCGGAAGTGCCTTTGGGCTTGGGAATTCGAAACTACAATTCCCAGAAGCCTCGGCCGCGCGACTGGCGATTGGGCGGGGTTTCAGTGCCTCAAGGGAGGTGGGAGAGGGGACATGGCTAGATCGGAAGAGGGGCGTTGGGGTCCCAACTGGGGGCTGCAACTGCGCGTGTCCGAGTTTGTGCGGGGAGCCGAGAGGAATAGCGGGACTGTAAGGCCAAGGCCAAGAACCGTTGCGTAGGGAGTGGCTGACTTGGGAAAGGCTGGCCCTGGACCCGGCTTGACGCCCAGGAGTGGCCGTGAAAACGAGATCCGATGGAAACACCGGGCACCCCTCCCGGGCGCATGCAGCCTTGTCAGAAGCTTGGCGCACATCGTCGTCTTTGGTCCCCAAAGCCAAGTATAGTTGCTACATACCCGTTTATACAGTCCAGGGAGCTCCTATTAAGCCCTTTAAGAATCTGATGTTTTTGTGCCCCTTCCCTTTTCCTTTATTTCCTGAACGTTTCCCTGGCTCAGCTCCAGCAATGAGGGCCTTTCTATCTTCTCCAATAACTCAAGCAGGCTCCCACCTCAGGACCTTCGCATGTGCTGTTCATGCTGCCTAGCAGGCTCTTCCTCTGAGGATTCCCCCACCCTCTGGTCTTCTAGCCAATGTCACCTTCTCATGATGCATTCCCCCACCAACCTTGTAAGCTTGCAAACAAACCCTTCACTCCCCACGTGATTCCTGCCTCCTCTTAATTTTTTCTCCAGAGCCCTTTTCACTATCGAACACATATTTTTAGGTATTTATTTGGTCTGTTGTCCATCTGCTTCATCACTAGACTGTGAACTCCATAAGGGAAAGGATTTGTATCTATTTTGATGACTGCTGTATTCCCGGCACCTAAAGTACCTGACACATAATAGATGCTTAGTAAGTTTTTTTTTTGTTTTTTTTTTAAAGATTTTTATTGGTGAATTGGGGGGATGGGAACAGTGCTGGGGAATTGGGGGAAAGGGGACAGACAAGTTGCTGTCGTTTTGTTCTTCAGTCTAGTTGTGGAGGATGTTGCTTCACTGGCCCAAGTTGGCACCATCATTGCGCTCTTCCCAGGTGAGGCAGATCAGTCGCCGGCTTCTGGACGGCCGCTCACTGCGGCTGCTGGCCGCTCACGCTGGCTGCTGGCTACACACGGTAGCCCATGGCAACCCACTGCCACAGGGACTGCAGCCCACGCCGTCGCCGGCGACTCACAGCAGCCCAGCTCCAGGTTGAGCTGTTGTTCAGCATCTTAGCTGCAGAGGGCAGTGTCACTGGCCCTCATATGTGGGATCCGAACCGGGGCCCTCTGGCATCCCAAGCGAGTTCTTAACCATCGCGCCACTCGGCCGGCCCAGTAAGTATTTTTTTTAAATAAATAAAGGTTCCTGGCTCTGTGTCAAACACTTGAACATCCAACATCTTATTAACCAGTCCAATCACTGAGGAAATCGTGATATTTATTTCTACTACCAGGGAGGAAGCAGAAAATTGGGGCCCTGCTGTACAAAAATATGGTATTTTAAAGCTTTTTAAAAATTCTGTCAAAGCACTCCTATAGTTTTCCTCACATAAATTCTGACCTTGAACAACGGCAAAAGGTTACTGCAATTTGAAATGTAATCTCTAATCCTAAAGTTTCTTATAACTGGTTATTGTGGTTGATTTTTTTAAAAATATATTTATTTTGTATCTGGTTAACCTACTGAAAGGTTATGAATTCTTAATTTGATTCTGTTGGCTTTTCTAGTGAGATAATCATCTACAGATAATAATTTCATCTCTTCTTACCAGTATTTTAAGCCAGATATTCCCTTTCATGTTGGATTGCATTGGCTACCATTTTCAAAACAATGTTAAAAGCCTAAGATCTTTGGCGGGCTTACACCATGGCTGCTGTGTCTATCAACAGTGCTTGTCCATCCATGTGAAGTAGCTATGGCACCCCCAGCTGCTGGGTCTCGAACCATGGCCCTCTAATTCTTGGTCACTTTCTCCCTGTTTCTATTGTTTTTAAAGAAACATAAGTCAAAAGCCTAAAGTTTGGTGGGATCTAGGGTCCAGAGCCTGAAGAACACATTGAAAGAGAATGTCACAAGGCCTACAAAGAAGGTGGCAAGAATATAATATGCACCGAATAAATGTCTTTGGGTATATGATTGAGCATGGTTTCTCTAGGACCTCTGGAGAAAAGATCGCTGCTTCCATTAGACGGAGGGCTTGATTTGGCAGTAAACGCTGCATGTTGTGTTCACAAGCACCTGTTACAGAAGGAGAAAAGGTGAGTTGCGTTTTCTGGGTGGGCCCTCCTGGTCTACTTGCTGTAGTTCCAGGCCCAAGCACTCTGGCACTCTCCTTCCCCACCCTCACAAATTCCAAAGATCTCCCTCCTTTCTCGCTGCATTTCAGTCAGGCTGGCACCTCTCTATTTCATATATCCCCACTGTGGAGGATAGACTCTAAGGTGGCCCCCGTAATCCTCACCTCCTGGTATTCATGGCCTTATGTTATGCCCCTCCTCTTGAGGGTAAGACCTGCGACTTGCCTCTAACATGATTGTATGTACATGATTCTGCTGCGTAAGACCATGACTTCTGTCCCAGCTTTGAAGAAGCAAGATGCAGTGTTGTGAGCTGCCTTTGGAGAGGCCCACATGGCACAAGGCTGAGGGTGGCCTCCAGGTGACAGCCAGTAAGAAACTGAGGCCCTCATTATGATAGCCTGCGGGGAACTGAATGCTGAGCTTGGGAGTGGATGCTTCCCCAGTCAAGCCTCACATGGGACCTGAGCCTTGGCCAACACCTCCATTACAGCCTTGCAGAAGGCCTATCTATATTTTCAAGGAGGAAAAACCAGATTGGTGACGGCTCTCGACCTCTCCAAAGACTCTGTATGACAAACAAATACCTCATAGTTGGACTCCATGTTTCTTTTTGGTAGAGTGGGGACCGATGGATGTAAGGTAAATATGGGCGATGGCTTCGTGCGGCTGTTAGAATAGCTCCCATGGGTTTCTGAAGGCAGCTGCCTCTACAAGTGAATAGAGAGGTCAGTCAGGGTCCACAGGCACAGATTACCTTAGAGTCACAGCATCTGGAAAATGCCAACTTGTATTCTTTAGAGACCCGGAGAGGAAGAGATTCACCCAGGTTCTCATAAAGAATCAGGTTAGGACCCAGGACCCTGCCCCTGGCCCAGAATTCTTTCCTTTCACCTGACTACCTCTGCTACCTCTTCTCCAAAACTTCCTTTGCACCCCGCACATGCTAGGCTACTACCACCTCATTTGCAATCTGGCTTCAAGCCCTGGAGGTGGAAGGAACACATAATAGGAGCCAGAGTCCTAGAATCTGACCCAGGTTCTTGTGAAGCCTTGGGCCACTTTCTCCCCATCCCTGCCCTGCAATGCACAATAATGATTTAGACAAGATGGTTTCTCAGACTTCTCAAATATAAAATTCTAAGATTGCATTCCCTCTGCAGCTGCTTTAATCAAATCCAGCAGAGACAACATACCTCATAAAACTGCTCAGGGGTTTCTGGTGGCAGCATCTGGAGGCAAAGAAAGAAGTGAAGAGGACTTGGGGCTTGGAGTGGGGGGGCACTCCTAGAAATCCTTAGAAATAGCATTGGCCTCAGAAGCACTTATGTCCCTTCTGATTCCCAGAGGGGCTCAAGGATAGGCATTGTCATGTTGAAGGATAAGCAAAGAGAAGAGATGGAAAAGCCAGGGAGGGTCGTGGGATCCCCACAGAAGGCAGAGGACGAAATGCAGAAAGACCCATGCTGGCACTGGTTATCCTCAAGAGAGCATGCCTGACCCCCCTTCACCCCAAGAAATAGGACTGGAACAGCCCTGTTAGTCTGGGGAAGGGCCAGACAGTTGGGTAGCAGGGAGGGTCCCTCTGGAGCATAACCCACCTTTTTTACACTGACCTGTCCCTGAGGTTCAGGTATATTGGCATACACGAGCCCCGGACAGTCTAGAGAAAGTGAAAGTCAATCCCAAGATGGAGTTAGGAAGAGATGTATGGGAAGGGGTGGTTTTTCCAGGTCACTCTTATCCCCAAGAGGAAGATGGCAGAAACCTTCCCTCCTTTCCTCCCGGGACTCCCCATCACATCTCCAGCAATCTTATCCTGGGATGTGCTGAAAATCTAATAGTCCTGGGTAAAATAAGGCTATTGGATGACATGCATGAAGACAGACATCTAAGACCTAGCCCCAGCTGTGCCAGTGGGCCCCCGGTAGTGTGAGGTTATCCTTTATCCTTCCTGGCCTTGGTTTTCCTTTCTGTAAGATTGAGCTGGATTGGACAGTCTCTAGAGGACTTCCATCTCATGAGGCTCAGCCTTCCAGAATCCTAGGCCAGAGATGGCAAAGACATTTCACTTTGCCTTTGGTCAACTCCCATCCATCAGTAGAGGGTGCTTGGGGCACTGTATTGAGGATTATGAGGCTGGTTTTGAATTCAGCAGGGAGGAGTGTTGTGATTGATTCTGTCTGTCTACAGCCATCAATTAACAAAGTTTTCTGAGAATAAAGGAGGTGAGAATGGCAGCCTGATGCCATATTTTTGCTATGGCTATGGGAATAGGCAGAACCTCAGAGTTCTTGACTCTAATCTCACCTGTTTTCCAGATAGGGACACTGAGGCTTGGAGAAAGCAGGGTTTACCCATGATAACATGGTGACCTGGTGGCAAAGCCCAGAGGCCTGGGCTCACAGGACCAGCCTCTTCCCCACCCTTCACTGCTTCACTGGGCATCAGCTACGAAGTCACTTACAGGAACTGGGCTCTGCAGCAAGCTCCTTCTCAGCGGTGGGTGCCGTGACCTCATAGATGGGGTCTTCTGCTGTTTTCTTTGAGAGCCTGAAACCCCAAAGTCCTCATACTTCTGTGCATCTAGTCATTCCCATCTCCACAGACTCTGCCCATGTCCCATGTCCATTCTTGGGCAATGCCCCGAACCCTCTGAATTCCCCATATGCCATGGACACAGCTCAGCACCATGGTCAGCAACACTCTAGCAGGGGCAGGACCCCTGCAGGCCACACGCCCTCCCCTTACCCCATTCCAGCATTACCATCTGCCTTTTTTGATATTGAGGAAATAGACCAGCCCTGCAGACAGGGCAATGACAGTCAGGATCCCGATGGTAATGCCAGCGATAGCCCCTGCAGACAGGGACGACTGAGGACCTGGGTAAGGAGAGAGAGAGAATCAGGTTCCAGGCCTGACATGCCCTCATCCCTGACCCCAGCCCCATTCTCAAACTTGTGGCTTTATCTCCACTTTATTTAATAACCACTCATTTTCCAGTCACTGGGAGGCAGCAGTTGGGTAATAGCATGATATCTGGAGTCAAACGGCTTAGGTTCACATCTCAGCTGTGTGACATTGACCATGTTACTTAACATCTTTCTGCTTCAGTTGTCTCTTCTGTAAAGTGGGGACAATAAGGCCTATTTCCTATGCTTGTGTTGGTGTGATGATGAAATTGCTTAGGATGATGGATCAAATATGGCTTTCAGAGGAAAGGGCTTCGACAACCAGAAAACTGGCTTTATTCCAAGTGAGTCACCTTTGACTCTCTGGTGACAACCAGAAAACTGGCTTTATTCCAAGTGAGTCACCTTTGACTCTCTGGTGACAACCAGAAAACTGGCTTTATTCCAAGTGAGTCACCTTTGACTCTCTGGTGATAACCAGAAAACTGGCTTTATTCCAAGTGAATCATCTTTGATTCTCTGGTGCCCTGTGACCATGGACAAGGAACTTGCCTTTCTGAGTCTCATTTCCTCAACTGCAAAGTGAGGGAAATGGTACCCATTGCACAGGGCTGTTGTTTGTTTTACAGACAAGGAATCAGAGACCCAGAGAGGTTAAGTAGCATGCCTAAGGTCACACAGCTAATAAGTATTGGAGCCAGGATGTGAACCCTGGCAAATAGCGACACTATGGTGCCCTCTCAAGAACACAGCACAGAAATACAGGGACTCGCTGCCAGTCACACCCAGTTGCTATTAATATAATGAATTCCTGAGTCCCCTACCAGCTCATTCCTTCTTTCACTGGCTATCTTCCTAACTCACTGTGCTTCTAAACAACTAAGGTAGGCATCACAAACCCCATTTACAGGTAGGAAAACGGTGGCTCAGGGCGGCCTGGAAAGTGTTCCAGGGCACACAGCTAGAAAGTAGAGGTTCTAGGGCCTAAGCGTTAGGGGTTGGGATTGAACGGCTCCAGACTGGCAACCTGCCCATGCAGTACACTCATTCCCACACCCGGGCCCATGGTAACGGAAGACTAAATCACTAGAGCCAGGGGAAAAGCCACTTGGACCCCAGGGGAAGGTGGTACACCTGAAGGACTCACCTACCACGGTGACCAGGACGGAGGCGGAACGGGCCAGGTGGGTCAGAGAGTTGAGGGCCGTGCAGTAATAGATCCCCTGGTGTTCCCAGGACAGGGCTGCAATGGTCAGCACTCCCCCCACATGCACACTCGTGGAGTGCGCCAGGGTCCACTGATACTCGGCGACTGGCTGGGACTTGGCCTGACACTGCAGGGTCAAGCTGGAGTTGAGTTCCACCTTGATGTTGCTGACCACCCCAGGCTCTGACCCTCTGGTGATGTCCACTCCGTCAGGGCCATCTGTGTGCAAAGCCAAACATTATGACCCGGCCTCCCCTGATGAGGTTCCTATTCTGCCTTGGTCGCTTCCACTTGGGAAGCTTTGCCTTTTTTTCCCTTCTCAGTTCTAACTAAGATAATTTCAGGTTATACCCTGGAAAACAAAGGCTCTTCTAACTGCTGTTGAAAGTAATATCAGCTGCCTAAGAAAGAGAAAATGCTCCCTTTGCCCCTTAGCTACCTAGTTCGAGTAGATAGTATTTTGCAAATGAAGTGAGGAAAAAAATCAAAATCAAAACCAAAAAATCCCTGCCCTTTGAAGAGCGAATTCTAACAAAGGGGGCTCATAAGACACCCAGGCTTCAGAAATTGTTGCTGTGTTCTGTGAACACAGCCCCTAACTTCCAAAAACTTCAGAATGTGGATGGACTGTCTTATTTAACAACACATCGCTCTGTAACAATATTTAATTTTACATCTGTGTATTCTCAACAGTAGAGGCACTTGTGGGTTTTCTTTGTAAAGAAAGAGTCCTTGGCCTCCTCCCACACACATGAAAGAAACTAATGAAAAGGCTGTTGGGTTCCTCATGCAAACTAAGAGTTTGAGTCTTATCGTATTTAAATTAACACGAGTGACTGGCAAGAAAGATGAAAAGGGTTTCTAGTTGGAACATTCCAGAAGAGGAAAATTCTGCCCTTGTCCCCTCCTAAATATCCTTTAAATCTGTTCATTTCTCCCCATCTTAACCCCAGGGCCACCAGGACCCCTCACCTGCCCCTGTCTTGGTCTCCCCATCCCAGTCTCAAATCCTCCACACAGCAGCCAGAGGGATCTTCCCAAGTATAGCCTTGACACTATCCCTCCCTTGCTCAGAACCCTCCATGGCTGCCCATATCCTTGGGACAAAGCCAATAGTTGACGAGCTCATTCACAATCTGGCCCTTGCAGACGCCTGCAGACCCACCACTCACCTCTCCACATCTACTACGCTCAATCCAGGAAAAAGATCCTACTTTGACGTCCCATCCTTCTCATGGTCCTTCTTGCCTCAAAGCCACCCCATATTGTCTTCCTTCTCTGGCACGCTCTTCCCTGAGTCTGCTCCACCTAGCTAATTTACTGGTCCTTTCGGATCTCATGATAAGACACCACCTCTCACGATAAGACTTCCTACATTCCCCGGACTTCAGAAATTGTTGCAGTGTCCTGTGGGGGCTTCCTTTGGGTCCCCCAAATCCTCTTGTCCCATGGCAGCGCTGATCACACTGTATTTTCTTTGCTTGATGATTGATCTCCCCACCCTGAATAGGCCATGAACTCTGAAGGTTATGGCCATTATCAAGTGTCCACCATGTTGCTGATCAAAGAGAGAGAATGAAATAGATTTTTTTTGGTTTAATGGCTGAAGTAGGAAGGAAAGAGGAAAGAGCAACAGAGGAGGAGAAAAAGGAGAAAAGCAATGTATGTAACCTCTGTGTCTATATCCCCCTGCTATGTAACATGTATAAAAGTAGATCCCAGGCCAGCCGAGTGGCTCAGTTGGTTAAGAGCACGAGCTCTGAGCAACAGGGTTGCCGGTTCGGTTCCCACATGGGCCAGTGAGCTGCACCTGAGCTGAGCTGCTGCTGAGCTGCCAACAGGTGGCAGGATGGCTCAGCTGGTGAGAGCACATGCTCCTAACAACAAGGTTGCCAGTTTGACTCCCATATAGGATGGTGGGCTGTGCCCCCCACAACTAAGATTGAACACAGCACCTTGAGCTGAGCGGCCGCAAGCTGCTGATGGGCGACCGGATGGTGACTGGACTTGGAGCTGAGCTAGCTGCGCCCTCCACAACTAAGATTGAAGGACAACAACTTCGTTGCTCCTCTTCCCCAGTTCTCCAACACTGTTCCCCTTTCCCAATTCCCCAATTTAAAAAATCTTAAAAAAAAAAAGTAGATCCCTGCTTTACCTGCCTGCAGAAACCTTCTCCCCCAATCTCCCCTCAGCTCATGGCTTTTACATCCTTTGAGTAGCTCAGACAAAAAAACCTTGGGCTCGTTCTTGATTCCTCTTTTCTCTTTCCCTTTATGTCAATCAGCAGCAAATACTGTGAGTTCCATATTCAAAATAGATCCATAGTTGGATCTTCTCATCACCCACAGCTGCCACCCTGACCAAGCCCTATCGTCTCTGGATGGACGATTGTAGTCGGCACCACTAGAGGGCGCCTTGCAGACCTCCTATGGCAGGAGTTTTATTGACCACAGGGTCCGGCGGCTGTGCTCCGAAATCCACGCCCAGCCCCTCTCACGGGTTGTACCCTGCCAATACCTGAGTGTGTTAGGGAAACTAAGGCAGGCGCCTTCCTGGGAGACATGGGACTCCTGACAGACTTGACAAAGTTCTTTTGACTACATGGCAGTCTCCACGCTGTGCACCCAACCCTCTCTCACTTTCTGTCTCACTGCGTGTCAGATTTGCGTCACGGTCGATGGCTACCACAGACTTCCTGCGTTTCCCCTACTTTTTCACACAAGAGCACTCCCCTAATAAAATTCGGTGAGGATTTTAATCCCACCTTGGGGTCTGCCTCTCAAAGGGCCCGGATAAACACAACTCTTTCTATAACCTCCTCCCTCTCCCCTGCTTCCACCCGGTAGACAACGAGGAGAGAGACCCTGTGAAAGCTATCCCTCCTCTGCTCAGAGCCCCGGTGGTCCCCAGCACCCTCACCATGGCCATGGGGCCCTGCGTGATCTGCCCCCATCCCATCACCTCCAGACTTCTTTTGTTCCACTCTCCCCCTAATTCACCTCTCAGGTTACCTTGGCCTCCTTGGGGTCCTCTGATCTGTCAAGCACAGTCCCACCTCATGCACTGTTCCCTCCCCCTGGAACTCTCTTCCCTTAGCTGCCTGCAGGGCTTACTTCCTGCCCGCTTCTGTCTACACAAACACCACCTCTTTAGGGAGGCTCCCTGGAGCACCCAGCTAAGACTGCGACACATTCCCCACTCCCAGCCCTGCCTGTCCCGCTTGCTGCTCCATGGTTCTCTTAGCCTTAGCCCCAGCCCCATCTGACACACCGTGTATCCCCCTTGCTTAGCTGTTTACGGTCTGTCTCCCCCAATAGAACATGAGCTCCGCGAAGGTAGGGGCTTTGTCTTGTCCGGCGCCCAGACATGCCTGGCACAGAGCAGGTATTCAATAATTGTGGAGTGAATGGCTAGAAGGAAGAATTGAAAGCGAGGAAGGGAGAAAAGGAAGGTCCAGGCTTGGGGTGACTCACAGTTGATGGTCAGCAAGACGGGCTCGCTTCGGATCCAGCTGTCCCAGTTCCAGACCTCACACTCATAGGGCCCCGTGTCATTCCTCCAGAGGCCGTGGATGACTAGGGTTTTGTTGTCGGCTGACAGCACCATGTGCTTGCTGGAAAGAAGGAGCTGTCCCCTCACTAACCACCGGACTGGAGCCCCCTCCTGGGTGGTGTTACAGGTCAGCGGCACCACGGAGCTGGCATTCTCCAGGAGATTAAGGCTTGGAGTCACAATGCCAGGCTTGCCCAGCCTTTCTGGAAACAGGGAGAGATAAGAGGAGAGGGTTCAGGGACGCTTCGCCAGGCTCCTGCCCAGGCAGGGCCCACAGGGCTCTCCAAGGATGTATGTGTACGTATTGTGAGTGGTGTGTGTGAGTGTATGTGCCTTGTGAATGACTGTATTATGTGGGTAGTACATGTAAGGCTTTTGTGTACGAGTGTATGTTGTGTGACAATTATGTGAATATGTTATGGGTTTTATGTGTATGTGGCGTGTGGTATTGTTTGTGTGTGAGTTTCTGTCAGTTGTATATGTGTGTGCTGTGTGTCTATAAGGTATAGGTGTTATACCTATGTGCTTTGTGTGTGATTTTCCCATTTCATCTGCCCCACCTTGCCTCACAAAGTTCAATGAAGGATGATAAGAGACAGAGAGTTGAAAAGCTTTTTTGAAGCTACTCTATATTCAGTATGGATTTTCCTACCATCTCCTGCCAGAACTGCCCAGACCTCTAAACTATTCCCACACAATGGGCACTCTCTCCCCCATTTTAAACATCATCGAGAAAGGAGACGCCACGGAATGCCTATGCTCCCTTTTGAAGTCATTCTTTTTGCTTTGCTCCATGAGGAAGGGGCGCCAGGGATGGGCACAACCTCCGGGGCTGTCACCCGAGGAAGTTAGGTAGGCAGGCCTTTGGCCCCTCCTCTCACTGCGAAACCCACGTCAGGGCCCCTGCCTTTCTACCTGGCGCTTAGGCTCCCGACCGCTTCCTCAGCAAGGTCCCCCAGGACTGTGATTCCACACATACTCATCATTTATGAACCTGAGCATCATCTACTCCTAGGTGACCTTCAGTCTTCTTGGGAGGACAGCTCATCCCTGGGGCCTCCCACTTCTTGCCTGCTGAGAGCGCTGGGCGAGCTCTGTTCAACAAAATACCACTTTTCATTAGCAAAGATGAAAAACGCCACAACAAGGTGACCGGTTTAGATCAATGGAGACTAGAAACAGTGTTCCAAATGAGTTGTGTTGTGAGTTCTAGTTCTCCTAACAGAGGAAGCTGGTTTTCTTATAGACTGGAGGGGAAGCGCTGAGTTTAGCCAAAAAGCCATGTGTGTATGGTACTTATATGTGTTGTGTGTCTGAGATGTGTTATGTACTGTGCATTGTGTGTTGTATATATCTGTTGTATGCATGTTATATGTGTTTTGTGTGAGTGTGCGTGTCCTGTGTCTGTGGTATTGTATGTTATGTGTTGTGTGTGACTTGTATTATCTCGTGTGTGTGTGTTGTGCACACGTGTGAGTGGGCTATGCATATGTGATTACAATTTGCGTGTGTGACTGTGTGTATGGGATGTGTTAGTGTTATGCATATGTGATTACAATTTGCGTGTGTGACTCCATGTGTGTAAGGGATGTGTTAGTGTATGTATAGAGATCAACCCCCCAACTTCCAGACAATCAAATAATGGGCAGCCCATAGACAGCCAACGCGGTCTTGTGGAGGATGTGCCAAGCGAGGCACCAGGTCCTTCCCTATGGCTGGAGCCCTGCTCTGCCACCAGCTACACGGAAAACCCCCACTGCTCTGGACCCTCCTCAAACTCTGGGGTATTGGTGTAGTTCTGATTCCCAGAAGAACAAAGGAGAGGGGCAGGGAAAAGAGACTCACTCACCAAGGATTCGGACTTTCAGAGCATCCTGGACGGATAGGCCGGTGACACTGTTGGACACCAAGCACCTGTACATGCCCTCGTGTTCCCTGGACACGGCATGGATGGTGAAGTTCCTTGTGATGACAGACAAGATGGAGTCATTGTGGAAAAACCAGGAATAGGCAGGAGAGGGGTGAGAGTGTTCTTCCACCGAGAAGGTCACGTTGGAGCCCTCTATCACCCCAACCGCCTCTCCGCTGGGTACACCAGGCTCCAACTTGATTTTAATGGGGTCAGGGCCATCTGAGAGGACAAGCACAATAGTAACCATAACAATAGCATCAGCACCAGCTCTCTTAGTGGGACTTAAGGAGCCAACAAATATTAACATTTCTCCCCACCCAAGCTCTGGATTAATCACAAAGGAGATGCATGTGTTTAACGGAGATTAAATGTCAGCCTTATCCCTGGATAAAGCAGGATTGGAAGACAGACACGTCTCAACATGCCAGCAAATGCTCTTTCCTTGCCCTAACCCAGGCAAGATTTTGGATGAAACATCCAAAGGTTAAATAGCTCAGTTTTAGACATGTTAAGTTGGATGTTTCCAGTGGACTCCAAGTAGAGACATCAAACAGCTGTACATCTGGAGTTCAAGGGTAGACCAGTGCACGTTTGGATGGTATTTAAAGCTGGGAGACTGAATGAGATCACCAGGGAAGTGGGTGTCGGTGAGGGGCTGGGGAGAATGGAAAGGGACTCACAGTACACAGTCAGGGAGGTGGGATCACTGCTCCGGATCCAGGAGCCGTTCCGGGCTTCACATTGGTAAGGCCCGGAGTCCTCCCGCTGGACCTTGAGGATGGTGAGGCTCTTCTTATCTGGGGACAGCTGCATGCGCTCATTGAATTCCAGGGGGTGATTGTTGAAGATCCAGTGGACGGTAATTTTGACGTCCGTGGTGCCACAGTAGAAGTTCACCGTTTGGTTGTGCTCTATGGCAGTGCGCGGGTTGACTGAAATGGTGGGCTTGGCCAAAGGTTTGTCTGCAGAGGGAGGAAGACAGAGGCGGAGACATAGACAGAGGAAGACCAAGCAAGACACAGTCACAGTGGGATCCAGAGAGACAATGATGGATTGGAATTGAAAGAAGACACCTGAGCTCAATGCCCAGCTGGGCTCAAATGCTAGATCTACTGCTCATTCTAGGTGTGACCCTGGGTAACTTCCTTCCCCTCTCTGAGCCTCATTACAAAAAGATTTATACAAATGAAGTAGAGGGGACTTGACAGTGGATCAATTAATATCAGCTGCCAAGAGAATCAAGCTTGTAATAACAGCAGTGCCAGCCAGGTCCTGCTACCTACTTCTTAGCCAACCTTTTCCACCCCCAGCCATGACAGCCACAGTCCACCCCTTTATCCCTCCCCCCAATACAACCGATTCCACCAGTCGTAGCCAGACCCTGGCTGGGCCCATCAGTTTCATCCTGTTGGAACTTTGTGCATGGAACCTTGATGGGTGCTTGAGAATGACAGCCTTGTTTTCTGTGTCCACATCTCTGAATCTGCCATGAGTCTGGGGGTGTCCAGAGGGTCCCAAACATAGACGGAATAACATCCTTCTTACTTTGCATGGCGTTAAGCAGGTGGACATCAGGGGTGAGATGGGCTGCAGTTGGCAGACTCCACGCTATCAAAAGTGAGGCTGGTGGGGGAAAGAGGAGGCATTGAGGAAGGGAGAGGTAGGTTGGGGGGTGTCCAGTTATAGTCTTCATAAGTGGAGGGAGGTCTGAGGTCACGGACATGGCACTCCATCCCTAGAGGCTTGACTCCTACTCACTGTTTACTGGGCATGTGACTTGTGGCATATTTTTCATCTTCTCTGAGCCTCAGTTTTCTCAGCTGTGAAGTGGGTATAATCCCAGGGTTATCGTGGCGAGCTTTAACTGGGCCCCCAGATGGTCACTGTGCTCTCTCCAGTGAGGTTCACTCGAGATGCATGATCAGCCTCCCCGCTCCACACAGAGGGAACCAGATGTTCAGAGAGGTGACGTCACTTTCCAAGACCGTATAGTAAGTGGCAGAAGCCAAACTTGAACCTGGCTTTTCAGCCTCTAAAAGCTGTGCTGTCAACACTGCATAATTCCTATTGTCAGCCCAGCGATGGGCACAGGGCCTACCCTGGATAAAGGGGAATTTGTTCTATTATACCTGGTGGGAGAAAGTTGCCTTTGGTACTTCCTCATACTCGCCCTCAGGTAGAGATTGCCCCTGAATGGAGGAGGAAAGAGGAACAAGATAGCAGGACTTTCCAGTTTCCACTTGGCCATTCCGCACAGTTTTATGCAGACTCATAGAGACTGTGGGTATGGGTGGGGACCCCCAACCCCAGCAACCATGCTCCTGTGCAGTTCACCATGACAGTCCCCTCACCCCTCCCACCAGCCCAATTACCAGAGACTGGCATCCACGTTTCTCTCCAACCCTCAAAAGACCCCCATTTGGCCCAAACACTACCCCATTCCCTGTTCAGTCAGCGTGAAGGGCATGGGCTCTTAGGAAATTTGGAAGCAAATATGGACCCTGACACCTACTGGCTCTATTATCATGGGCAAGGGGCTTTCTCTTTGTCTCATTTTCTTCAACTGCAAAATGGGGAAAATACTAAAACTTAGTTTATCTAGTTCTTGTGAAATTGGCTGAGATTTCAAATGTGACATGCTTAAAACAGTTCTTAGTAAGTGTTCAGTCGTTATTATTATTATTATTATTATTATTATTACCTATGTCTGTGTTTTCTGCCTCCAATGGTGAATTAGAGGTGAAGTCCACATGCTCAGAGCCTGACTGCCTGGGTTTGAACCCCAGCTTCAGCAATTTATGGGGCAAGATGTCCTCTGTCTGAGTCTCAGTTTCCTCATTTGTCAAATGGGGTAATAATAGTTCCTCCCTCATGGAACTGTTGTAAGGCTAAATGAAAAATGTGAGTGAAAGCATCAATGGTAGGCTCATCACACTTGTTAGAGATAAATCTTGATAAAGATGAACTGGGACTTTAAGGAAACTAATCGGGCTGGGAGGTCCATGGGTGGAGCTGGACTCCTTGAACTCCGTGGTCCTAACTTATTTTTCATAAAACTCTATGGTTCTGACCAATGTGCTGTACACCTGAAGCTGAAGTTGAATAATATTGTATGTCAACTATAATTTTATATATATATATATATATATATATATATATATATATATATAGTCACATGAGGCGGAGTATAGCATAAGGAAGATAGTCAATGGTATTGTAACAGCTTTATAAGATGTCAGAGGGGCAGTAGCTTGGAGGAGGGAGGTTTTCATTTTGTGAGGGGTGTAAATGTCTAGCTATTATGTTGCTTTGTACACCTGAAACTAATTTTAAAAAAAACTATGGTTCTAACTTCCTTTCTCCCTATTTATCTATCATCTATCTATCTATCTATCTATCTATCTATCTATCTATCTATCTATCTATCTATCTATCTCTATTGAAGTATATCTCCTCCATCTTGGAATACAGCCAGAATTGCACATGACTCCTTGGGTCCGCACGGTCTCATGTTGATGCAGCACTATTTCCTTTTCCCCAATAAATTCTTTTGGTAATGGACTACCTAGTCAATGTTATTGTTCAGTCGACAATCTCCATTTGTGAAATGCTTTCAGCTGGCCCCTTCCCCG